TGGTAGAGATGAGATTATGGGATAAACCCGGAACTATTACTCCATTTGCAACCTGTATGGGTATCCTCATTGAGTAGACGCTCCTTTTGGTGGGTCATATGCGACGTGGCTCCTGAGTCTGGATTCCATCTTAGGTCAGCAAGCATAAGAGTTGAGAGGGTAAGAAGACTTGTATTGGCAGCACTTGTTGAACCTTCACCATTTCCGCCCTTATTGGCATTTTTGCCCTTTAACAAGGCCAGGAAGTCTGGACACTTGAGGGGGAGGTGTAGCTTTTTGCAGAAGATACAAGGATCAACTGCAGGAGCAGCAACTGCGGCAGCAGGTATGGTTGGTGGGCAACAGTTGGAGGGGTTGCAGCCATAGTAAGACCAGACAGAGGATTTTGCTCTGCTGAACTTATATCACCTTCCTGATGCTGGAATCGAAATGCCTGGTGATTGGCAAAGGCAGTTTCGATCTCTGACACCTTGAGCTCAGTAGACTGCTCAAAAGGTGCTTTGAGAACTCCTAAGAGTTCCTCATCAGGAAGAGCCATAAGAAGAACCATAGCTTGTAGCTCTTCATCTGCCTTGGAGAGGTCAAAACCGGTTGATCTTGACTCCTTCAAGAGAGACATAGCAGTAGAAACATGACCAGAGAGCCCTAGGAGTGATTCCCCATCTCTAAGACGAATTGAGGTGGGGTTCTATAGGCAGTGAAGCGAGCACCAGCCTTCCTGGGGGCAAAGATGTCCTCCAGGGCTTTCCAAAGGGCACAAGGATCATCCTCATGCTGCTTAACAAGAGGTTTGACCTCTGCAGAGCATACCCCACAGAATGCCAGCACACTTGTCAATGGCAACTGCACCAAGCGCTTTCTTGTCTGTCTCTGTAGAAGCAAGACAAGCAGAAAACACCTCCTTTCTGCACAAATAGGCCTTGGCATCACTCTTCCAACTTGGGAAAGAAGTGTCCTTAGCAAGAATAGGCATAACATCCGAGTTTGCCATTGTGTAGAATGAGAGAGAAGTGAATGGATGGAAATGAATCCAAAGCTAAAACCACTGCACAGTTCCTTGGGTTCGCTAATTTCTACCGCAGGTTCATTCGGGACTTCTCAACCCTTGTGCGCCCTCTTTTTGTGCTCACCAAGAAGGACCAGCAATGGACTTAGGGCGACGCGGAGGCCTCTGGGTTCCAAGCGATCAAGGACGTGGTCACCTCGGAACCGGTCCTGGCGATTCCGGATGACGCACGGCCTTTCTGACTCGAGGTGACAGCTCTGATTATGCGACGGGGGCGGTTCTTTCACAATCCGCCCCGGATGGGAAGTGGCACCCTGTAGTATTCTATTCCAAAAGCTTAAATGATGTCCAGCGCAACTACGAAATCCACGACAAGGAGATGCTCGCGATCATCCGCGCACTCGAGGAGTATAGACACTTCCTCGAGGGCGCCGCGCACCCTGTCGAGATTTGGACTGACCATAAGAATTTGGAGTACTTCAGGAAGACGCAGCACCTCAACCGGAGACAGGCCCGGTGGTCCCTGTACCTCTCCCGGTTCGATTTCACGCTGCACCACAAGCCCGGCCGCGACATGGGTCGACCTGACGCCCTCTCCCGGAGACCCGACCACAGAGTTGATTCCGACAACTCCGATGTCGTCCTTCTGTGGCCTGAACTCTTTCACGTCCGCGCACTCGAGGGCGTTTCCGTTTCCGGTCCTGGCTCTGAACTCCTCCACGATATCCGCGATGCTCTCTCCGGTGAGCCTGACCTGGAGGAGCCCATTGCACTAGCAGCCTGGCAACTTCTTAAGGTTCAAGGTCAAGCTCGAGGCCCCCGCTCCTCACGTTCTGACGAGTGGGCCGTCTCCGGTGGTCTTCTCCATTTCCGAGGGAAGATCGTCGTACCAAAGGACAAGGACCTTCGAAGACGCATCATTGAGCTCTGCCATGACACTCAAGTCGCCGGACACGCAGGTTGCTTCAAGACCTTGGAGTTGGTCTCCCGGAACTACTGGTGGCCCCAAATGTCTCGCCATATCGGCTGGTATGTTGTAACCTGCGACTTGTGCTGTCGCACCAAGGCACTCCGGAGACTTCCACATGGAGAGCTGTACCCCACGGAAACGCCCCCGGAGCGCTGGCATACCGTCTCTGTTGACTTCATTGTCGAACTTCCTGAGGTCCATGGGTACGACACAATCATGGTCGTTGTCGACACCCTCGGAAAGCGCGCCTACTTCTCGGAGTGTCATACGACGGTCGATGCAGTAGGGGCAGCCCGCCTCTACTACTGGAACGTCTGGCGGCACCATGGAACTCCGGAAAAGTACATCTCTGACCGCAGCTCACAGTTCATCGCGGACTTCACCCGAGAACTTTGGTGTCTAATCGGCATCAAGCCCGCCACGTCCACCGCGTATCACCCGCAGACGGACGGACAGTGTTATATCTGTGCCGACTCCGGCAGTCCGTCTCCAATAATCGACTCCGGTATTTGGTTTTTACGCAATGAAGATTTACTGAGCGTTTCCAATTACCCCGACTTATGATCTATACAATCATCTATGCCTTATTCCTCGTGTGCAACTCCTCTTCTACTTTACTTGACTTTGTTCTAATCTTGTTACTTACTTTGTTATACCTTATTCCGTTTCCGTTACTTCTCGCACTATAAATACTTTGATGTATTATCACGTACTTCAGTTTGTAAATTAACGTTGCTGGTCTCTATCTCCCAGCATCGTCTCGACTCCGCTCTTCTCTTCTTGTCTTGTCTTGGTCAACTGGAAGCCCCGGTCACCCAATCATCCTTCTGTGGTGTTCCGCCCCCAAGTGCTCTCTCCGACTTTGATTCCGTTTCTGACTTCGACTCCATCTCCGGTCCTTTGGTCGACACGGCACTTAACAGGCAGACAGAACGTGTCAACCAGGAGCTGGAGCAATACCTGCGAATCTTCACCAACTATCAGCAGGATGACTGGGATGAGCTGATTCCGGCCGCGGAGTTTGCCTACAACAACCACGTTCACTCCTCCACGCAACAAGTCCCGTTCATGACAGACTCGGGCCGGCTCCCACGCATGGGCTTCAAACCCGGAGTCCACTCCGGCATGGAGTCAGTGAATGAGTTCCGCAACCGGATCGCCACTGGTGTTGCTGAAGCCAACCCAGGACGACCCCTTTGATGGACGCCCCGGCTACAACCAGCCCCCTCCGGACCTCAAGGACAGAGTCCCGGAGTAGGAAGTAGAGGAAATCTTGGATGCAAGGGTGAGGTATAAACCTGAATTATTTCGTTAGATGGAAAGGCTACGATGCGTCGCACGACCAGTGGGTCCGCTTTGACCGTGTCTTCGCCCCGGAGAAAGTCGCGGAGTTCTATCGTAAGTACCCTGGCAAACTACAGCACATCGCCTCCGCAACCTTCGACACAATACCCTTCCAGCCTATGTGTCGGGACGCCACATTCAAAGGGGGGGTGATATCAGGGGAAGCCCCCTTTCGGCCCCTCGGACTCCGGTCCAATTCCAGTTCCATCTCCGGCCCGGCCCTCCATCTCGCCCGCACAATCACCAATCCGTCAACACCCTCCCGACGGTCATCCTGGGACCTCGCCTGCAACGCCGCCCAAGCCTTCTGTGCCCGACAGCGGCAGCTATGGGCAAGCAGTATATAGTCAGCTCCCTAGCAGGTGGACCCTTGGAGTTTCTTCTCTTTGGATCCTCCCCTGCTAGGTTAGCTTCATTTATATTTGCTTACCAATGTTCATGCTTTGGATCCTCCCCTGCTAGGACCTTGATCTCAGGCCTCCGGGGTTGCCCTTACAGTTTCAAAACACCTTCAAAACACCACCTGTTTTCAAACTGTTTTGAAACCAGCAGCTTACCAGGGCTGGACTACCCTGCGCTGCTAGCCGGTGATAGTGCCTGTGAGTTGGAAGGTAGGCCAAGTGAATTTGACACTGAATTCCATGGAGGTTGCCAGGAATGGCTTCGGTTGGCCAGCAACACCATGACATCAATTGCCGATGACATGGTTCAGGTATCTTGGGAAGCCACATGTGACATGCCTGTCCAGACATGTTGGTTTTGAAACAGAAGCCCCAGGATATTTCAAAACTTATGGTTTCAAAACTGCTCACAGCACCCTATGGAAGATCTTAAAGGAGAGTTGCATACCATATCTGACATGTCTTCTCTAGGCCCTCAGTCAGCATCTCACTCTTCAATCAGTGCAATGGTTACCTATATACTGAATGCTGATCAAGCAAAGCATATCAAAGATTTTCTGGATAATTTATCTCAATCTTTGTCTTGATCTCTTTCAAACCACTGTTTGTAATTTTAAAGACAACTTTATTTGATTTATATCTGTCCTGTAAACATCTTACATTTCTCATTGAGTAGATTCTGGAAATAACTCAGAGGCTTCTATAGCAGCTACAGTTGAAAATATACCTCCTTGAGTTTATAGAGCTGTGTCAGAATAATATCACCCTGAGTATAGAGATTGTTCAGCCTATTATTATATATCAATACCACACTATAACAAGTAGACTCATACTCAGTGATTTGGGCATTACTAGAGAAAATAGACTCTAATAAGGTTTTTCCTTCTTCTGTTGTCTGGAGCTCCTGGATAACTTCTGGTTGCAGCTGTATTTGCTTTTCATGTCTAGAATGAAATAAAATTAAATATCTGAATTGGGATTCAAGCTCACATAAATTACCTAGGAAATTTCTTATATTGGGCCTCTGCTAAGCCAATACAGAATGATATCTTGTTAAGAAGCAGCTCAATTTGAGCTGTATGCTTCTGAGAGACAACATAAAGTTCTTGTTCTGCTTTGTCTATTGCCAGAGCTTTGTCTACCATCAACCTGCATTTCCTGAATCCTCTTCAATATTTTAAAATGCTACCTAAAAGGACCAGCTACAAAATGCACAGAAAAAAGGTACGATTTTTATCCGACTGTCCTAGCACGTTTGAATTGGCTATTTTGGTTCACCCTACAACCGCATGATGAGCTGTTTCACTCCCGACATCCACAGCCCAATATCATCCGTTTGCGAGCCTCGCGTCAAGAGGTCGACATGGATCGCCAGCGCAGCTTGACGATCGTGGTTCTCCATTGCTGCGAGGATTCATCAGTCCTGCTCGTAATGTGACAAGAAAAGGAAGTGAACGGACCACGGACAAGCACGAGTAGTTGTTCGACGACGGGGGGCGACAGCGTCTCGCAGTTGAGTGCGTCAAACAGCGGGTTGATCCGACGTTCCAAGTCCTCAGCGAGTCTCTTTTGCTGCGGCGGAATCGTCTGTTTGAGCTGTTCGAGTTGGCTTGAGATGACCTGGTACGCGGGCAGCGAGTCTTCTGGAATGTGGCTTCGGTCACCGGGAGCTAGATTTACATAGGATGAGAAGATGAATAAACAAACACGATGTCGCACTCACGATACTTGGGTGGCGGGGGGCCTTTGGGCGGGGGAGGGGCACGTGGAGGTGCTTGAGCTGGTGGGCCCTGGCCTGGAGGCCCCGGAGGAGCCCGTGATTGCGCACCTGGCGGTGGTGCATACGGTCCAGACGGCGGCTGAGGCTGCTGTTGCTGTACTTGTTGGGGAGGAGCGTAGGGACCTGCCGGCTGAGTCTGTTGCGGAGGAGGAGCATATGGTCCCGACGGGGCTGGTTGCGGTTGACCCTGAGGGGGATACTGTTGTCCAGGTGGACGACCATAAGGGCCATTATTGTCTATTGGTGCTGGACCACGCGACGGCGGAGGAGCATATTGGCTTGGGGTCGGCAATCTCGGAGGTCCTTGTGGGGGTGACATGATCCTTGATGGCGGTGGAGGCAGCTGTGTTGTAGACGGGGGTCGGGCCGAACCCATGGTCAGTGGGCCAGTTCGGCTTCCAGGCCTTGGTGGGGGCGGGATAGGCTGTTGTTGACTCAAATACGGTGAAACCGGGCCGCCAAAGCCGGGGGATGCTGGAGGCATGTTTGCAAACGGAGCAGTGATGGCCGAAGGCTTTGTGCCAACGGGAGTCGAACGTGAACTGGGGATAACGGTCGGCGCATCATTCCAGCCACCTGCATCTCGTTTGGGGGGCGCAGGAGGAGGTGGGGGTGCAAGATTCGCAAGTGAATTGGTGCGAGGCGGCAGAGGATTGACGTTTCCATTATTATTGTAAGCCGTCACTCCTTGTACTTGACCATATGACGGCCCTGTGGTTTGGAGAGGAGTGTAACCGCCCCTTCCATTATTAACTGGCGGGGGTGGGTTGTATGCGTTGGCTTGCGGAGGATTATAGGCGTTGGTTGTCGGAGGAGGAGCATAAGGTCCAGATGGTGCGGGAGGGTTATATGCAGGCGGATAAGCTGTGTTTTGCTGAACTGGGGGAGCATATGGACCAGGCGGTGCGGGTACGACAGGCTGACTTGGCACGGAGTTAAAACCACCGTAAGGCGGACGGGGAGCTGTACCCGCGGTGGGTCGAGCATTTACGACAGCTGGTGCAGGGGTCTGTGCCTGGGCTTTGGAAGTTGCTTTAACAAGACGTTCACGATGAGCCTTGACCGCTTCAGTGCCGTATGGAGCAGGAGTAAGCTCAAGGAAGCGAACTGCTTCATCGACCAGGCCTTGAGCAGCAAGAACCGCGGCGTACTCATAATACCGCTCGTAGAGTGCGCTCAGCTTATAGGTCTTGTCGGATTCTTCCGTCGTTGCTTGGAGATCTCCATCAACATAGGTCGTAGCGGATCGGAAGACGGTGACTTTCTCGATGAATGCCTGTAATGCGCGAGCCCTCGCCGAATAACTCGTCCCAACGCCAGTCTCCAACAGATTTGTTTCATCTTCAGCCAATTCTTCATCCCAAATGCCGATTAACCGCTCCAGCTTTCCGGCAGCGAGGTACGCCAGTGTTGCATTCTTGCGCCAAGCTTTCCCGTCAGCCTCTTCTCCATCCTCCGCAACCAATTTGCCTTGGCCTTCAAGTCGACCTCCCAGTTCTTCCACCAGGCTTTCGAATTCGCCTTTCTCGCGACCAGCAAACGTGCACAGTACGACGAATACTTCCTTCCACTCATTGACATCAGCGTTACGGACAACGTCTCCGAGGTCGGAATTGACGACAGCTTGTAGTACACGACCACTGCCACCATTCCCTCCTTGTTGCGACAATGTCGACGCAAAATATGCTTCTTGGGTGCGACGGAGGAGAGCTGGCCCGCCGCGAACAGCAAGTAAGATTGCATCTGCATATCGAGCCGACGCTAGGCAGAGCGACACGGCAGAATCAAAGTCGCCAAGAACAAGTGCTTGGGTGATCAACCGATCTGTTGAGGAGGCACTTGCTGGATAGATACTGAAGGAGCCAGCACCCTTGGTTGGCTCGGAGGCGACAGACGAAGGACGAGAGCCAACGGTGGCGGCAACAGAAGAGTCGAGTTGATAGTTAGTGTGCGGCACGACCGTGCTGAAGAAGTCAGAGCCGCCTGCATCTCCTCCATCAGCAGCATTCTCCTCGCCAAACAAGCTGGGTACAGTGGTTGTACTCTCAGACTCGCTAATTGTCGGCGCGGTCTCGCTGACACTGACGCTCGTGGCCGCACTGACTTCGGAAGGCGCTTTCTCGCTCCCATCATCAGTTTCGGCAAACGAAACAACGGCCTCTCGAGTCGAAATTAACTCCTCCTCCTTCATAGTTGCATCCCCGTCAGATGTCGTTAATGCCAGCGAGTCCACGGCCTCCCGAACTTTGCGCTCAACCTCCGCCTTTTCGAAACCAAGCAGAGTGATGAGTTCTTCCCGCGAGTCTGTCTTGAACAGACTGAGAAGAGCCTTCCAACCATCCCCATCAATCGACTGTTCGTGTGCCCAGTCCGCGACGGCCGCTTTGTCCTTGTCGAGGGCTTCCCGTAGACCTTGGGCACGATCGACAACATCCTGTTCAACGTGGACAGTCCGCAGGTGAACTGAGCCGCTTTGATGTTTCCCGGATGCACCAGGGAGATTCGCCACGCTGACAAGCTTCCCGCCGAAACCGAACGAGGCGGAAACAGAGCGACGAAACCACTTGGGTGGCTGGGAAAGAGAAAGGGTACCAGCAGAGCTGGTAGCAGTTCCTCCAGGTTGTAAATCGAAGATATCAGCACCGGAGGCGGCGTGAGCGGCAACCTGGGCGGCAGAATCGGCAACAGACTCGTTCGTGCCTTGAAGCGAATGGATTCCGATAGTCCCATCGAAAAACGCGGCGGCAAGAAGGTCTGGGTTGCGAGGACACCAATCAACTTGGAAAGCCCAGTTTTGCGCGCGCGGAAGTTCACCCAAAGCATCGCCTGTTTGAGGGTTCCAGCAGAGAGTCCTATTGTCCTTGCCGCAGGACAGAAGAAGGTCTGCGTCCTGAGCGCACCAAGACAGGGAAAGAATTCCCTTTTCATGACCGGTCAAGATCTGAAATGGAAGCACATGAGCGCCGGATTGAATTTTCTGAAGACACGTTAGCACACCTTCTCCGGAGCACGAGCATTGCGAAGGTCCCAGAGCATGATGATGGGCGACTGGTCGTCTTCAAGTGAGGTTACGAGACGCGTCGCGTTGTCTGGGTGCCATTTGATATCGCTCATTCCGCCAGCTCCACCTGCGCCATAAGCGAGAGCCACGACTTCGCGTTTGCCACGTAAATCCCAGACGACTGTGTTACCAGTGCTGCTCGCGCCAGCGAGAACATACTGGACCTGTCTGTTCCAAGCAACAGCGGTCATTTCATCGAGTTTGGTGGACCGAGCACCGGGGGTTGGCGTGTATGGCTTCGCTGGTGAGTTCAAGTCCCAAATGTACACCTCGAGTAAGGGTCAGAACAACGAAAAGCGAGCCAAGATAGCGTACCTCGCCACTGACGGCACCGGACGCGAGCAAGCTCGTCTGGATGGGGTTAAAATCAAGGCCACGTATCGGTCCAGTATGAGTAGAATTGCGCAAGATAAGTGCACTGCAATAGCATAAGAAACGCGGGCGTCGTGAATTCAATGACAATCTTACTCGTCGGCGCCTGCAAGAATCTTTGCGGGGTCCCATAATGCCAGCTCGCCGTTCTCCAGGCCAGCTGCGATGACACCACGCGAACGGGTTGCGTCGACGCCTCCCCAAGCAAGCCTGTTGAAACGGGCGGTGTCCTTGACGACGCCCTTGGGTCCTCGTTGCCCAGCAGCCCCAAGCTCAAACTCATTCTTGTCGAGGAAGTCCGGAGCCCAAATCTCGAGTTGGCTCTCATCGCTGAACGACTCGTCCAAAGCGCCGGCAACGGTACCCGTAGCTAGCAGAGGTAGCGAAGCGGACGGTGACCATGCAAGCGTCGATGTGCGGTGGATTTCCTTCAACTTCATGCGCGAGGCGAGAGGGTAAAAAAGAAGTGTGTGACTACCATGTGACCAGATCACGACACGTCCAACTTGCGTCCAACTCAGAAAAAAGGATTGTGAGCGAGACTACTTACTTCCAATCGTTCTTTGGGTTGCAACGAGACTTCACCACGTTGGCGTGAATGCTTAGACGTCCTTACGGCCCCGCGCATTCCAGTAAAATCTCAGGTCTTTATCACTATCTTAGACCAACATTTCCCAAACACGCAGCCCCACCTCATGCGCTCTAACTGCGTAAGATCTCGTTCGCCGTCCGCTCGACTGTCCTGGTCTTTTCGTCGGCACTCAAGATAGTTTTCTCAAACACTCTCCAAATCTCTGATTAATCTCAACGTCCCGTACATGATCATGAATATTTGTCGCGAGCAACGTCGAGGGTTTTGTTGGCGCCAACATGTCACGACAAAGCGACTACTGAAAGCTTCACGCGGACATAACAAGGTTTGCGCGGACTGTAAGTGTTGGTATCCACAACAAACACATCCTTGCAGATCGCCCCCCTTGCATTCGCTACTCTGGGATACACCAACACACCACAGTAAAAGTCAAGTCTGTCGATCTCAATACCTGAACACCAGATCGAGATGCGCGCTGGTTTTACCAGGTACAGACGAGCATTCATGTGTGGGAAAACCCTTTTTCACAAACACGCAAAAAGTCCGACAACTCTATTTTATGTTTTGTACTGGCTTCTGTGCGACCTTGGCTTTGTGTCATTCTGCTCTGGGTGTGATTGTTCAAAACCATCAGGCGCAATCGGAGGATAGGGGACAGTGTGTGACAACGTGCTTACACACTGTCATGGACACCTTCAAGGCTTGGTACTACGACTCCTTCCTCAAGAGCCTTGAACCTCCTCTGAAAGATCCAGAGTGGGTCACTCTCGATAACTGCACATTGGACGAACTTCCAGGCTTCGAGAAAAAACTTCGAGGCTTTGTGCGATATTTGGAGCGCCAGATCCACTCCCCTCACACCAGCGCAAGGCAGAAGGCTCATGCCGAAATGCAGTGTAAACAATACAGGGGTGAACTTGTTCAGGTGATTCTTGCTTGTTTTTAGCTGCTCATTACTAATTAGACGCGGTTAGATTGCGGAGGCGCTGGTGCGTTGTGCCTCTTTCATAAATGCATGGCTTATCTCGACATATAGCTCAAGAAGCAAAACGTTGATCCATCGAAGAAACGAGATTAGCACACCGGCGATGGGCTGCGTACTCGGAAATTGAGTTCCTGGAGGCAGTGAATTTGTTAGCATATGATGTGTTGGAGAGCTGCGGTTCGGGGGGGTGGAAATCAATATTCCTTCATTTTCGGTGCTCCGCGGCAAGGAGTATACTGCTCATAAAGGCGACCACTGAGATAGCATCATCAGGTCCCTAACCCTACCCTCCTCTGCCGCTGACTCTACATTGGTGGACTCAAAGACGCCAGCAACTTTCGAAGCCAGAGTGGACTTTCTTTATCGATGCAGACTGACGACCCGCCCCAAAAGACATCGCAGCATCAATTTGCAAGCACACTACTCGAGCCAGAGCCACTGAAGCAGGCGAACCCAGAGCAGCTCGAGCCGCAGACTCAAGCCCTCTAGGAACTGCGCTCCCTCCCCCCACGGCAGCCAAAGATCTCTTGCATGCGCTTAAATCCGTAAGTGACTTTAATCTGCTGTTTCCTACTCGCTGACAGCCAGTGAGGCAAAGGCGCCACCCGGAGCTCACGACGAGGCCTATATTCCTGACTGATGCGGCCTATGAATCCGAGTCGGCAACACAAGAAAGGGATCGATTTTCCACATTCCGCCAACGTCCTGCGTTCGCTGTTAAGCATGGCGGCTATTGGTGATGAATGACCACCGTCGACTATTTAGGGCATGTCTGCCACCAGCACAGGGTCGACGAGTTGACCCTATTTTCTAGTAGTCCTAGTCGGCCATCTTTTCTTGGGGCCACATCAACCACTGCTGTGTATTCAACACTCTCTCGATTCTTGAATCGCAAGAGATTTTCAAGTTAGTGCGACAATTCAACAACACATCACCTCTCCTAGATGGCTCATTGGGGCTTCTGAAGTATATGACACGCTTGTTAATGCTCTAGGCAAACACAAACTGTATATTTCAGAAACAATACTGACTTGGTCTATGACATTTTCCCCTTTGGAGCCTTGTGTTAGTTGACATACTAGAAAATCATCCAGCAGATTTGCTATTTCCTTATGTATACTTTCATACTTTCCCGCATCGAGATAATAAATCCAGAGTATTATAATGGAGCGAAACTACATTATATGATGGTGCTGCTATACGCGGGTGGGCCGACGACTGGGAGGAGCAAAAGCGGAATCATCGTCTGAGCTGGTGCTGCTGCTCTCTGTCCCGCGTTTGGAAGTTGCTTTTGAGGTAGTTCCGGAACTAGCATATGGATACTCGTCGTCAAACAGGACTTCGTCTTCTTCATCTTCCGCAGGGGGTGGTGGTGGTGGTGGTTTACTCAGCGCCGACCGCGACTGCCCAAATCGTTTTTGGCCATCGAGACTGGAGGTATTGCGTGTGGGGGTTGGGGGAAGGGGAACGCGGTACATGTCAATGACTTCCTCGTCATCGTCTTCAGGCAATACGGAGTTCTCGGTGGACATGGCCACGCTGCGACTGGGGACAACAGTCCTCGCCAGACTGCGATACGACCCTTTCCTGAGGTGGATGGCGTACGAATAGATGAGGAGGGCAAGGTAGATTTTGGACAGCCACGACACCAGGATGACGGTGAATGCCGTCCCTTGCTCGCGTGCCCATATAGCCTGGGCGGCTTCAATTCTTTGCGCGTCGGTCAGAGGCGGTCCGCTCAGTTCTGCGACAGCAATGAGCTCTTCTTGCGCGGCTGAGTTGGCCTGGCGCGCGCCATCGTGTGGAGTATGCCACCACCAAGCAGCAGCAAAATAGGCAGTCCACAGTGTCGACAACACGTAGTCCGCGCTGAAAACATGGGCAAAGTAGAGCGTTTGCCGCGCGTCTTCCTGTCCAGCCTAATTAGCGCCAATGACACAACGAGAAGCGATTCTGGCGCACGGTTTTGACCACTTGTAAACCCCACCCAAATGCGACCAGGGCGACGACCGAGTAGAGGTACAAGCTCAGCTGGGCAAACGTTCCTCCCGCTCCCGTCAACATAGCTATCAGTCCATACACTCCAGCGACTTTGTTGAGCACCTAGCACTCTCAGAAACGATTTCGCGAGTGATAGAGACTTACCGCGAACAGAATGGCGATGGTGACGCCTGTTTTCAAGTCCAGGATACCCAGGAACGTAGATAATGGCCAGACGTCGGGGCGTAGCATCAACTTCATAATGACGAGGAAAGAAAGGGATTCGTGAGGAATCATAACTTGATCCGTCATGATTCTCTCAATGTAAAATTGGTCCGAGTACAGTGACAAAATATGTTGGATTGAAACTACATCCTTCCGAGAGGGAACCCGTTCTAGATAGATTCCTCGTCTACTTGAACCCACCCCACAGATCTCCAAAAGCATCATCTTTTTTCTGTTGCGCGGGCTGGCTCGAAAACAGATCTACACTTCCACCAGCTGGCGCACTCCCCCAAACATTTGTATCTGCCGCAGGAGAAAATGCTGTTTGTTGAGTTATAGTCGGCGCACCCCATAAGCCTTGTTGGGACTGTTGTTGTTGTCCTGCTGTAGCCCAACCAGACGAAACTCCCCACATTCCTGTTCCGGCATTACCGAGCATGCTCTGAGGCTGCTGCTGCGGGACCGCAGCTCCCCATGGACTAGGCTGCTGCTGAAATTGTCCGAAGACGGGCGATGCGGCGGGGTTCGAAGGAGGAGCTGAAGAAAAGAGTGACATGATATCGTCCTTGGCGTTTTTCGTTGGTGCAGATGGCTCGGGGGCAGCTGGTGGGGCATGGAAATCAAGACTAAACAGGTCATCTTGGGGTTTGGGTTGTGGAGGAGGGACGGGAGCTGCTGCTTGCTGAATGGGTGCTCTCGTCAGGGAGGCGGTAGCTGAATGGCCTGTTGACAAGAGCTGGCGTGGCTGTGGTTGCCGGTTGACCGTCGAGTTGGAGGCACGAGGAGGCGAAGGAGCAGCAGCCCAACCGACAGGATCAGGTGTTGATTGCGGGGTGGTGGTGGTGGTCTCGCTCTCAATCACAGCGGTCTCAGAGTCCAAGATTGAGGGATCACTGGGAGGAGGACCGTCAAGTGCCCATCGACGGGATTCATACTTGGATCGAATGAAGGATTCCATTTTACTGCAGTTTCAACTAAGAAGTCGTTTCGCATAATGCTTGGGCACGCACTGGTCTGGAGGGACATGGCCAGGCTTTAGACGCGCCTCCCAGTACAGATTTGCGCGCTTATTCCCCCATTTCTGGATGCTCTGATGGTGCAATGAGGACGGATAGAAGGAGAAATTATAAGGCACGCACCTCCATTTGCTCTGGCGTCCAGGTATCGAGATCAACAGACTTGACTTTGCTGATGTGTGTCCCCATTCCTCGGTGTATCCCAGAGCAGCGAATGCAAAGAAAGACGCCAAGATTCCACGACGCCCAGCGCGGATCTGCAAGCATGAGAGAACTCATAACAGTTAACCAACATAAACAGACCGTTATGTTTGCAGTCAGCGCAAACCTTGTTGTCCACACGCTTGACGAGCTCGCGAAGTGTCCGCGTGAAGCGTTCGGTCGTCGCTTTATCCTGAACTGGACGAGACATGTTGGTGGTTCTCTCCAGATATCGTCACAACCGCGTGGTCGTGACCGGTTTGCTTTGCGCCAACAATGGCGTCCGAACTCTCGGCGCTGCTCACCTCATCCAGAAACCTCACCTCTCATTTATCGCGCCCGGAGCTACCCTCAATAAACCTCTCCTTGGACCAGATCGAGGCCCAGTCACGACGACTGGTTTCTCAACAACCCACCGCTGCAAATGAAACTGACCGCGCGTAGGTGCAGTTCAATTCTACTGATTCTATGCTAATCGTCCATCTAGGAACTATTTGCTTGCCCAAGCACACGTCGATGCATCTGCACTAAGCAGCTCCATTGCTCATCTCAATACCACCGCAACTTTTTCGCCACTCCAGCCATTGCAGGACACAGATGTTGCGGGTTACTTGCGTCACGCTCACGAGCAAAATCTCATCTCGACCATCGAGGAGGGTCGCCGAGAAACACAGGAGCAGTTCTATCGCACGCTTGAGGAGCGAAGCAGGCGGGATTGGGAGGCTAAGAAGAAGCGCGTGTTCGATGAGTTGGGCGGACGCGTAGGCGGCGACAATAAAGCTATGGCCGAACTCAAGAAGAGTTTCCACAGCAAGGTGAGCCCGCTTGTTGGCCCATTGGCCATCTTATTGAGTCAAATGCAGCCAAGTGTTACACCCAGCCTTACACTCCAAATGCAAAGCAGGATGATGATTTACGACCGCGTGATAACGAGTCTGAATGCTGCTCGTCTCCGTGGCACGTCGTATCCAATCGTTCACGCGCTCGCTCGCGCTGCTTACGAGGTTGCAACTGATGTAGGTTTCTCGCTCTCCCTCCTGCTTCCATCTTAGCTTCCATTTTTAGCCGCGTTCTGCGCAAATGTCTCAAAACTTCCATGTTCTTGCCAAAATTACAGGTGAACCGCCAGCTCTACCTCCCACGGAGCACGCAAGTGCCCACATTCTCAACGCCCCGACTTTGGAACGAAAATATGCCCGCGTATACTTGGGCAATCAAGAAACACGCGAAGCTGCCGCACTCCGTCGGCAGATCACGAACGGCGCGCGACAGGCACTGGAGGAGCAGTATTGGGATGTTTTGGAACGAACAATTCAGTCACGACCGAATGAGGCTCAGCTTGGTGGCGATCCAAGTATCGCGAACAAAGTGCGAGCGTTCCTTTTTGTGAGGTACTACAAAAATGGCGAATGGGAGGAGCGGATCGAGGTTTGTTGTGTATTCTTCTTGGTCAATGTCGATAACCGTGTTGAGATAGCTTGTCGCTGGGCAACCCTTATGGGCACGACTTTTCTTCCTGATACGAACGGGGCATTATCAAGAAGCCTTAGAGGAAGCTCTACGCTTCCAGCAATCCATTGAACACAGAGAACCCAGCTTTATTGGCCACTTCCGAACCTGGATCGAATCACCTGATCGCAGGTATGCTACATAGCAATCGTGCTCCAAGTTTCTAAGAGACTATAGACTGCCAAAGCCCAGCCGGGATCATCTTCAATCCACATATAATGCTCACATGTTACACTCATCGACATCAGATCCATTCAAACTGGCATTATACAAACTTCTTGGGAAGCTAGAGCCGTCTCGCAGGAGTGTTCCGCACGCGACATCGACGACAGAAGACTGGCTTTGGTTCCAACTGGCTATGGCAAGTTGTGAGATGCTTGGGTCGTTTCTAGTGTTGATCAGCCATTTAGGTCGACGAAGATGAAGATGGTGGGCTCCGGGGTCTTGCAGAGGTCCTCCTCGGGTATGGTGAACGACAGTTTGATGGAGCGCCAAACCAGCCAGGGGCCAAACGAGGCGTTTGGGCGGGTGTATTGCTGATGTGTGGACAGTTCGAGCGTGCAGTCGCAGCACTCTGGGAACACCAAGAGACCGAAATTGAAGCGGTCCACCTCGCCATTGCCCTTGCGTATCATGGTCTGCTCCGTGTCCCTTCACGAGCCGAAACATCAGATATGACTCCTTGTCAGTATCTTCCCATCTTTTTGTGTCAACACTGAAGCAGTTGAATAGTGTCCCTTTCACCAGCGTCTCCTCCAGCACTCAGTTTATCGACTCTCATTTGGCGATATGCGAGACAGTTCGTGAAGATGGATGCCAAGGAGGCATTGCAATACGTTTACTGCGTTGGATTGGCAGCCGACCAAGGCCCCATCGGTCAAGAACAAGTTGAAAATGCATGGGAACTCGTACGGCGCATCATTGTGCTAGGAAACAGCGGTCCTGGATGGGAGGAACTGGTCGGAGGGTTCCGTCCAGACGGAACACGATTTGTACGATGTGATCCTTTTCAGTGACCATTTCTCATAGTTTTCAACAGAGCGGTATTATCGAACAAGGCGCTTCCCTTTTATCCCTCCGTGATACGAAGGACTTCAACGAACAGATCCTCACCCGAGCTGCCCGCAATTCGGAAGAAAACGATCGCATTCCAGAAGCTATCAAGTTGTACAATCTTGCGGGCGACTACAATACGGTCATTTCATGCCTAGCCCAGGCGCTGGGTAACACCATTGCCATGCCCAGTGCCGACGAAAAGGCCAGGACAGTCGAGCGGACGGCGAATGAGATCTTACGCAGTTACGAGCGCACGAATCGGGCGGTAGGAAGAGACCGCGAGGCGGTTATTCGGCTGTTGCGGATACGAGAAGCGATCGAGGCCAAGCAGGCTGGCAGGCCGGAGATTGCGCTCGAGGTACGGAGTCTGGTTGGCTGATACTGCAGGGCTGATTCGCAAGCAGATTATGGAGTCGACGGAGTTAATACCTCTGGACGGCGACGTGGCCAGGATTACGCGAAGGGCCGAGGAGTTCAAAGAGCTGCATGAAGCGCTACAACGGAATCTGCAGACATACCTCCCACTCACGATGGATGCGCTGGCGGGTGTCCACCAAAAGATCAAGTCACAGCTCGCGCCAACAGATGCGACACGACAGATGGTATCGTGTTTCTCCCTGTGTTGAGCTTAGAGTTGCTGACATACCACGCAGTCGCTGGCCGCTCTCCGCAAGAAGTCGCGGTCGGTGATGGTCTTTGCGGGCATCTTGAAGTACCGGATGTCGCCCGATGTGTACTCGTATCTGGCGCGGTTGGACGTCGAGATTGCTTTGTAATATGGCCATCTGTCAATTAATTCCTTGTTAACGATGCTGTATCGACAAGCTAAGAGCAATTTCGGATCCTTTCTGGGCGTTGGGTATTTTAGTTGGTGCGCTAATGACCAGACTGCAACATCACGAACTTGGAGGAAACTATACCGGGCACTGCCAACTATAAGTTTTCGAAGTTCTCTCGAAGAAACGAGATTATATCTGTCTTGCATCCTCGTCATGATTACCTTTGACTTGGATTACTCGTACTCGTCCTATACCAGGTTATGTTCAGATTCGAGTCTTTTCAAGTCGTCACGAGACTGGCCATTCTGTTGACGACTCTTTGTCGTTTCGCTGGTGGATCTTCATTGAAGAACTTAGCATCGGGTTCTGCTTGATCTTGAGCACAGTTTATTTGGGACGACCATGGTAAGCTTTAAGGCCCGATTAAAACCGTGAAACACATAGGTGGAATATATTAAGACAGGAGTGGCAATTGGAAGGGGGAAGATTAAGATAGATAGAACTATATGGGTGACTAGTCTCGTTTCTTCGATGAATCAACGTTTTGCCTCTTGAGCTATATGCCACGTAGATAAATAAGCCATGCATTTATAAAAGAGGCACAACGCACCAGCGCCTCCGCAATCTAACCACTTCCAATTAGTCACGAGCAGCGGAAAACAAGCAAGAATCACCTGAGCAAGTTCACCCTTGTACTGTTTACACTGCATTTCGGCTTGAGCCTTCTGCCATGCGCTGGTGTGAGGGGAGTGGATCTGGCGCTCCGAATATCGCACGAAGCCTCGAAGTTTTTTCTCGCAGGCTCGAAGTTCGTCCAATGTGCAGTTATCGAGAGTGACCCACTCTGGATCTTTCAGAGGAGGTTCAAGACTCTTGAGGAAGGAGTCGTAGTACGCCTTGAAGGTGTCCATAACAGAGTGGCAATGTTATGTAAGCATCCCATTGTCACACGATCACTGCGTGCCTCAAACTCTCAGAAGCTCTCTCAGAATCATGGAATAGGCTATAGCGCTTGCGTATATCCGGCGCTCTTGTCTTGACCACGGGTCCAACAGGAAGGCCTACCTCCGACAACAAGCCATACCGGACGACGACAACGAACATAACTGCGCAAACCGAATTAACTGAGGCTCAGGCTGGTCGAGCGGGCACCCTACCCTATTACATGACCTCATGGCTCAATGTTGAGTTACGACGACAACGAACATAACTGCGCAAACCGAATTAACTGAGGCTCAGGCTGGTCGAGCGGGCACCCTACCCTATTACATGACCTCATGGCTCAATGTTGAGTCCGCGAATTTCTTGAGGGGAAGCAATATAGTAGCAATATCTACTTACGGTTAGCGAGACGGTCGGGAGATCTAGATGGGAGGAGTGGATCAGTGATGTGGCTGTTCACGTGCTACACCGGCAAGATAGCCGAGAGTACCGGTGGCCTTGCTTAGCGGTCGGCAGCGCTTGCCGCACGCCAAGATGTGACTTGACCGGTTCTGTTCAGTGTTCTGTTCTGTTGCAGTACAAGCAAACAGTCTTCAATGTGGACGATATTAAAATATGGCTTATCAACTTATATCGAAGCCAAGCGCGTTTCAGCCGTCATTCATTTCACTTTGATGCTCAACCACAAGGTCCGTGGCTTCGATCTCCAGACAGAGACCATCCACAGTTTCGCGCACTATGTCTTCGGCGAAACCGGTGGGTCTCTCGTGATGGCTGACCTCCAAGGCACACCTGCTTTCATTTGCGGCAACGATGGACTTGTTCTGTTCGATCCGATGACTCACACGATTGAAGGGTGCACAGTTTCTTTCCCTCTCTCTCACTGAAAGTTGTTGATCCTCTGTCTTAGCGGCTCTGGACTTGGAGATTTTGGCATAGAGGGTATTCAGAGCTTCATCCACACACACAAATGTAATCAGCTCTGCAAGATATAATATATAGCCCGTCTGCGTAAATAAATCAGGTATAACTTCATAGGGGAGGTACCCACCAACGCCTTTGCAATCTAGTCACCTGAATCAGTCTTGGTGTAATACAACGATGATATATATATATATAAGCGAGCAAGGCGCACCTCGAGACGGTAGAGTTTCAACTTTGCACACTTCTGTTCACCGAAGACCTTCACTTCGGGGCTGATGCCAGGCATTTGCAAACGTTGCTCCCAATACAACATCTCCGAACGAAAGTTGGTATCGATGGTATTAAGTTGATTGATTTCACAGTCGTAAACCGTCCGGGGGCGCTCAGGAGGAAGAGCAAAGAATTCCGCGATGGAATTCCACAAGGTTGTGAGGCAGCTGGACATGTCAAAGGAGTTGGATGATAAGATTGACCGATGCTGACATAATCCGTAACATAAACATTTTACTTACTAATTTCAATTTTTTCAACATAATAGTTGTTTGCTTGCTCACAGGACGACTCCGACTCTCAACCTTTAGTTTTTGAGCGGTCATCCCCTTCAGAGCATGCTCAAGAGGCTTGAGCTTGAGCACTGGCAGGGGGCGGAGGCTCGGTGAATGGACACCACTCCACTTTACAAAAAAAATATATATTTCCATTCTGCGCTCTAAATTTTGCAAAGTTTCAGACTGCTAATAAGCTCTAATACTACTGCGACAAGTTCAAATCCTATATCTGCTTTCATTGTTAGAATTTTATTTACAATCTCAGACTCGTAACTACACTGCGGTAAGAGTGAATTGCTGCCTCCCACTCGCATCATCAAATGAATACAAGTCCACCAAGTCCGAACCACACGACGCGACGCTCAAGAAAGTATTACAACTCGCGCGACCGCTGTAGGGTTGGACATTGAACCCACTGCCCGACGGGCTCACGACCCATCGCTGGCGGCCAGAGCCGTCATCACTGCCAAACAAGTCCACAAGATCGGCACCACAGGAGGCGGAGGACAAGAAGGTATTGCAACCGTCACGCCCGCCGGCGACCTTGATGTTGTAGACGTTCGTGAGTCCGGAAACAGCGACGAATTGGAAGTGTTGGCGGCCCGAGCTGACAGAACAGATGAGTGAATGACCAAGGCAAGATGGTATAGCCTCACCCATCGTCCGAGCTGAACAGGTCGACTTTGTTAGTCCCGCATGAAGCGACGCTGAGAATGGTATTGCATCCGGATCGCCCGCCAACGGTAATGCGGTATGTTTTTCTAGCATGATCAGATGTGGAACTAGAAAAAACCGAGATACACGTACGAAGTGTCGATACTAGATGGGGTGGCCGCGGGTAGGCCGGGCTTGTTCAAGCCTTGAGCCAGGATACTGAACATGCCGCCGATGACGGGCTGGTCAAGGTCAGTGGTAACCAGTATACCCAAAGCAAAACTCACTCGTGCTTGGAAGCCATTTGATGAGCCAGAAACGGTATCATACCAGTCGCTGAATGGGACTCGAGAAGGGGAAGTGTTGATATATTTATAAACACCATCGACGATGCTTTGTCGGACAGAGGAGTCGCTAGCAGAAGCAGCTGTCCACAACTCCCAATCAACTTTACTAAGCCGGTCGTTAGTTAAACGGGAAGAGAGGAGACAAAACTCACGTGTAAGTGTGGCGGACGTCCAACGGCACTCCATAGGTGTTCATAACAGTCTTATACTTCGAGTCTTCGAGCGCAATTGTGGCAGCGGGAATCAGGCCAAGACCAAGTAGTCGATCGGGGAATGCGTTATATTTGAGGGACCAGCTGTTCGTGTCGCCATAAGCAAGGTTGAGATACTGACCAGAAGGATCTTTCGAGACCGCGTTCCAGGTGGTGCTGTACTGCTGAGCAACCGACGAATAGTGGAGTGCATCTCCAGTTTTGCCCACAAAGTTGGCGATCCTGCCCATTTCACCGATGCCAATGATGCCTTTGAGCGCGAGGTTGGTAGCATTCGAGATGGGCCCAGCGAAATCGTCCGTCGTCAACTGGTTGTCGGGGTAAAGCGTATGCGAAACGAGGAACTCGGCCCATCCACGGAAGAGACTGTAATGAGAGGTAGCCCAGGCTTTCGCGTCGCTCTGACTGGAAGGATTTTGCAGGTACATGCCGACCAAGATGAGCATATTGGCTGATTCTTCGACGGGCATGAGCTCCCCTCCACCATCATTGTGCCCGTTCGCATTGGGGTAAGAGGAACCCAGGTCGTGTGCCGAGTAAGACTGAGGCCAGAGCCCAGACGACATATAATTGACGAGGGGATTGAGAATATGGCGCAAAAGGTCTCCGTTAAGATAGTACAAAACTGGCGCGGCGGGATAGATGACATCGACGGTCTGCATGTTACCATCCGACGAAATTCTACAAATGAAATCAGCGCACGAATAACAGGGGCACCCAACGACACGCACTCTTTCAACATCAGCCAGGGTTCGCTGGTACTGCCGACAAACTCAGTCCCTCCAAATGCTTGACGCGCGGCCAGAGCAACGATAGCTTCGTAGTTTTGCCCGTTAGCTGCATTAGCTGCGTCCGCAATCTTGCTGTCCAGAGAATTTGCACGGTTGACGGCGTTTGCTAGATCGTTGTAGAAAAATTGCACCAGGCCTTGCCAATTGGACCAGAAGTTCATCCAGTAAGCGTTGACCGGGGAGCCCTGCCATGTTATTGCCTGAGGACGGACATGCCCGACAACGTATGTTAATGTTGCTGAGGAAGAAGTTCCAACGGAACCAAGGTTGTTGGAGAAACCGAAGATTGGCCTAAAGAAATCCGTAATTCATGGGGTGGCCAACAAAGTTCGTTCAAGTTACACACCATCCGTTGTTGATAGCTCTGAAGTTGGCGTTGTTCAGGTTAGAGAGTTGTCCATTAGAAACAAACGCGGCTCGCATCGTGGATGCATTATCGCCGCTCTGCCACGTCAAACCATTTGCGTTCAATGTCGACCAGACGGCCGTGCCCCAGTTGGGGTAGTCGCCGCTTTCGCTGAACTGTGTGGGGCTCTGTGTTTGGATCGTGAATGTCTGTAGATTTCCACCCGTGACCGAAACGGAGTTGTCGACAGCCCACGATGCGACCTTGGAGGAGTCGGCATTTGCCCACTCAGCGCTGATATCCACCATAATTTGGACAGTATGGGATCCTCCATCAGTGGAAACCGCTTGAATTTGCAAGTAGGACAGTGGAATGGACTGGAGCTGGGGCGACTGTGGTTCAATGGGGGAAAGGAAAGTAAGGGTGACTTGGACGGGGCCAGCTTGCATGGCATATATAGATTTGGTGGGTGTAATCGTGAGCGACTTTTGAACAGCATTCGAAGTGGTGCCAATTGGATCTTGGGCAGGGTCCCCCATAAGTGGATAACCTTTGCCATCGACCCGCGCGATGGCCGACCACCCCTTGATAGAGCCTGTCCAGAATCTGGGCTGACATCATTGGTTGAATTTGTGCCCGCAACGGTTCAAGGCCCAAGGGACTCACCCATGACCCAACAAGACTATCAGAAGCTGACCATGTCGACACATAAGGCGACCTCACAGCAAGAGGAACAGATGGAGGCCGTACGGCCGCAAATGTCGAGCGCTTCTCGTTGAATGGCTTCGCCTGAACAAGCGAAAGAGCGGCGAGCGCGAGGAGAGAGAGGGCTCTCATCTTCCCGGACTTGAGTTGGATGATTCATGCTGTCCTAGCTGGTATTTAAAGCGTTAGCATAATAGACCCCGGAACCGCCGTTGCGTTGGGCAATGGCATGCGGAAGAAAGAACACAAGACCAGTACATCAGCTTTCGGTGTGCTGATCGCTGACGACAATCACAACAGAATCTACAAGGGAAAGCTTCGGGGAGCTTCGAGGACCGCAAGCTCGACACACATGGGTCAGGGTAGAAAGATAAAAATAGTCACCTGTTGAGATGTTGCGTTGAACGGGATAAACACTGTTGTTGAAGAACACCAAAAATTCAACTGGTATCTCAGGTCGTAGACCTGTGACCAGCGGTTTCGTATGTCATCCATAGAATGGTCTGTTGAACTCAGTTCCATCGATGTCCATGCAAGAATAGCGAGCGCCGAGGTACGGTACCGCACGTATCGAAGTGAGGGTGAATGTTGCTGACTAACACTGAAGTGTCATCCGTTTTGCCACCATGGCACCAACAGCCACACAGAGCAAAATATCGGTAAATGTGTTAGCTGTCCTCTTCTCAGGAGCGGAACTCGGCGCTGGATGTCTTGTGTTCCCAGTTAAAAACGCTGCTGTAACTGCACAGGTCGGCGCTTGAGTACGGCAGAAAACCCTGTCGACTCTGGAGAACATCTCGGGGCAAACCCCGCAACGTCACTAGGTAGAATAAGTCTTTCTATTCCCACTTTTGTGATTTTACAACAAACAAATATTACACCGCGGTAAGCGTGAATTGTTGCCTCCCACTGGCATCATCAAACGAATACAAGTCCACCAAATCTGTGCCGCAGGAAGCAACACTCAGGAAAGTGTTGCAGCTCGCGCGGCCGCTGTAAGGCTGGATGTTGAAGCCATTCCCCGAGGGGTTCACCACCCATCGCTGGCGGCCCGAGCCGTCGTCGCGGCTATATAGGTCAACGAGGTTGCTGCCACATTGGCCAGAAGACAGGAAAGTGTCGCATCCGTCACGCCCACCGGCGACCTTGATGTTGTAGACGTTCGTCAGTCCATCGACAGGGACGAATTTGAAGCGCTGGCGGCCCGAGCTGGCAAGAAAAGTAAGCAACAGGCCGGTTAATCAGATTATAAACCTACCCTTCGTCAGAGCCGAAGAGGTCGACCTTGGCCGACCCGCAGGCCGCAACACTCAGAACGTTGTAGCATCCCGACCGTCCACCAACCGTGATGCGGTATGTTTTCCTGCAAGTCGTCAACAAAAGCCACATGACGACAAAAAAATATGCACGTACGAAGTGTCCACACTCGACGGTTTGGCTTCAGGCAAGCCAGGCTTGTTCAAACCTTGTGCCAAAATACTGAACATGCCACCGATGACAGGCTATCAGATAGAATTAATGAAATGCGACTGAAAGATGTTGTTCAACAACTCACTCGTGCTCGGAAGCCATTTGCTCCACCATTAACAGTGTCGTACCAGTCACTGAATGGAACCCGAGAAGGCGAAGTGTTGATGAATCGGTAGACACCATCGACAATGCTCTGGCGAAGCGAAGCATCGTTGGCAGAAGCGGCTGTCCACAACTCCCAATCGACTTTGCTAAATGAAAAGTCAGACGATTCCGCTCTCGAAAAAGTATCGACTCACGTGTAAGTGTGGCGGACGTCCAAGGGCACTCCATAGGTATTCATGACTGTCTTGTACTTGGCGTCCTCGAGCGCAATGGTGTTGGCCGGAATCAGATTGAGGCCAAGCAACTTGTCAGGGAAAAGGTTGTACTTGAGCGACCACGTGCTCGTGTTCCCATACGCAAGGTTGAGATACTGGCCAGACGCATCCCTCGAAACGGCGTCCCATGTTGCCGTATACTGCTTCGCAACTGACGAGTACCGCAGGGCATCACCCGTTTTGCCGACAAAGTTCGCGATTCTGCCCATTTCACCCAGACCAATGATGCCCTTGAGTGCGAGATTGGTCGCATTCGAGATCGGGCCGGCGAAATCGTCGGTGGTCAGTTGGTGATCGGGGTAGAGCGTATTGGCAACCAAGAACTCGGCCCACCCACGGAAAAGGTTGTAATGTGTGGTCGCCCAGGCCTTGGCGTCGCTTTGGCTTGTCGGATTTTGCAGATACATGCCAACCAAAATAAGCATATTGGCGGATTCTTCGACGGGCATCTCCTCTCCTCCTCCGTCGTTGTGGCCGTCAGCATTGGGGTACGAAGAACCCAAGTCATGTGTCGCGTAGGACCGCGGCCAGAGGCCAGACGACATGTAGTTGATGTGGGGGTTGAGAATAAGACGAATGAGATCTCCGTTGAGGTAGTAGAGGATCGGAGCGGCAGGGTAAATGACGTCCACAGTCTGCATGTTACCATTTGACGAAATTCTAGCACAAGATCAGAGCTCGAAGGCCAAATAGCCTGAGATACGCACTCTTTCAACATTAGCCAAGGTTCACTCGTGCTGCCAACCAACTCAACCCCTCCGAACGCCTGACGAGCAGCGAGAGCAACGATCGCTTCGTAGTTCGGGCCGTTAGCCGCATTAGCCGCGTCTGCAATCTTGTTGTCCAGGGCATTGGAACGACTGACTGCATTCGCCAAATCGTTGTAGAAGAATTGCAGCATGCCTTGCCAGTTAGACCAGAAGTTGGTCCAGTACGCGTTGACGGGAGAACGTTGCCAGGTTATGGCCTGGGGCCGGACATGGCCGATGACGTATGTTAGCGTTTGCGAGGGAGAACTTGAGACGTAGTTAAGGTTGTTGGAAAACGCAAAAATGGGCCTAAAAAGTTGATTTGCATCAGCACCTGAGAAACAAGATATGCAACTACTTACCATCCGTTGTTGATAGCCCTAAAGTTTGCGTTGTTCAAGTTGGAGAGCCGCCCGTTGGAAACAAATGCCGCTCGCATCGTCGGTGCATTATCGCCACTCTGCCACGACAACGAGTTCGCGTTTAGTGTTGACCATACAACGGTTCCCCAGTTGGGATAGTCTCCGGTTTCACTGAACTGCGTAGGGCTCTGGGTTTGCACGGTGAAGCTCTGGAGATTTCCGCCCGTAACCGAAACAGAGCTGTCAACAGCCCAAGACGCAACCTTGGAAGAGTCGCCATTAGCCCATTCGGCGCTGATGTCCACCATGATCTGCACAATATGCAGGGCGCCATCGGTAGAGCGTGCTTGAATCTGGAGGTATGACAGCGGGATCGACTGGAGTTGAGTCGAGTCCGGTTCGATGGGGGAAAGGAAAGTCAATGTTACTTCGACGGCGCCGGCTTGCATGACATAAATCGATTTTGTCGGTGTAACCGTCAGCGACTTTTGAACAGCATTCCCAGTTGAACCAATTGGATCCTGGCCCGGGTCACCCATTATTGGATAAGCTAGCCCATCGACCCGCGCGATAGCGGCCCATCCCTTGATTGAGCCGGTCCAAAATTTGGGCTAATACGACTGGTGAAATCGTGGGCAGAGAACGCAACAAGAAACATACCCATGACCCCACAAGAGTATTGGAATCAGACCATGTCGACAGGTATGGTGACCGTACAGCGAGGGGAACAGCTGGAGGGCGTACAGCAGCAAAAGTGGCACGTTTCTCGTTCAGTGGCTTGGACTGGACAAGGGCAAGCGCAGCAAGCGCCAGGAGCGAGAGGGCCCGCATCTTCCTGAGCCATGATGGATTACCGCCCCGGTATTTAAGGGACGCCCCCCGCCCACCCGAAGCAACGTTCAAACTTCAAACGCTTCGGCGCTGGCACGCGGAAGAAAGAGCACAAGACCAGCATATCAAGTTTGGGCGTGCTGATCGAGGCTGATGGTGACGACAAAAACTGGCCAAGACAGCGAGCTCGATGCGTAGGCCAAGGTTAGGCCAAGGTCAAGAAGACAATAATAGTCACCTGTCGAGACGTTTTCGGTGCAAGTTGAACGGGATGGACTGTGATGCGACCAAGGAAGACTCCGTAAGCATCGTCAACAAGACGTTTATCTCGAGTCTTGTGACACTCACAGCACGCTGCTGAGTGCGTCATGCCTTCAAGAACTATACGCAAGCAAGTCTGCTCCTGGCCGCGGAATTTTTCTGGTGAGGGCGAGATGAGGGGAGCCACAAGGGCCTTCAGCGTAATGTCTGTCAGCAGTTGCTGTCAAGGCTTAGTCGATGGGTGGATAGGATAGTGCTTCCCAAGTGCTTCCAGTCAAGGCGCCGGGAACAAGGCAAATCAAGAGCAAATTCACGTGTGATATCATCTTGGTCAGAAGGTCCACTCAAAACTCTTCTTGTACATAGCTTCTGTCAGACAACTCGAACTTGCCTTTCAACTTCTCTCAACACGCAACCCAGCCATAAATGTTGTGGACGTCATAATGATTCGCCGCGATGGTGGGCGACATCCGATTCTGAATCCGCGGGACCTCGTTCACGGAATCAAAAATGTTAGTGGAATTTGTTTGTCAGACTGTAATTCACCCACATAGTTACTCAATCCAACGTGCCTCTCGATATCAGAGCATTGAATCCACCTAGCAACTTCAAGTTCGAATAAACAAGATATATAGACCTAGAAGCGGACTCATAACCCAAACAGTTTCCATTCATCCACCTTCAGTCCCGCGAAACTCAACCGCATATCATGCCGTAGTTGCGCCTTCACGACAACATCCACGACTGCAGGCGTGTACACCTTGAGCCCAATAAACGGGGCTGCACTGTCCGGAGTCGGCTCTGATCTGGTTTCCTTTTCTTCTTCGTCATCATCATCATTGTCCTCCTCTTCAGATGGAGGCGGGCCCCTGCCAAACAGGACGACCTCCTTGGTGTCCGTCATTATCTTCACCCCAGTTCTGACGGTCTTGATTGTCGTGATTGTTGTGGTCATACCTGGCGCTTCGTCGTTCACCTTGGTCCCCTCAGTCGACACATCGTCGGAGCTGTCACGTTCGCTAGAGTCTTGTGAAGTCCTTTTCCTCTGGGCTTTCGCAGTGTCCGCTTTGCGGCAGAGATCGGCAAGGTCTTGTCCCGCCAGTATCCGCAAAGGAATTGGCACATTCTTTTCCTGCCAACTGCAAGAGCAAGTCAAACACCATTCCCGAAAGATCAGGATGCCCATACTCAATCTCAACATCTACACTTGTAATCAGCAACTAAACGACAAGGGCTACGACACGCACTTGTCGCAACCGACTCGCTTTCTGCCCGCTGGGTCACGACCCGCGTCACCTTACTCTGGCTCCACTCTTCATGGTTGGTCTTGTCCGTGAACGGTACTTTGTCCAGCCGACACTGTCGCAAAGCTCACTCAAGCTCCAGTCCAGAAGCGGAACGTCAGACATACATGGACAATATACTCCCCGGCCTCCAATTCAGCAAACTCCAGGCTCACGCTCCGCGACGTGTAACGTGAGTGCGGGGACGTGTCCACCGCCGCTTTCTGCCCCCTGCGATACAAGACAAAGTCGAAGTTCCAATAGCAAGCCGGCGATAAACCTTTGAAGAACCTGACATCGAGTTGGGACAAGACGATGACTGCGGCAGTAGCCGTTGAGAGGGAGAAAGTGACTGCATCAAAGGTTTTAGCTTTGGTTGGCGGGCACTGCGGACTTACAGCAAACATCGCCATATCCAAGACCCGATTCAGGGAACGGGCGTGGGTGCGATACCCTCACGACCTGGGAGCGGACAGTCCACGAACTATCAAATAATCTGGCAAACAATTAGCGCGGAGAGTTTCAGGCAGCCTCGAACCTTGTTCTATCAATCTGTTCAAAACACAAAAGGAAATCCTTGTCTGTCGGGAGATAAGTCCGAGACAAAGGGAGCTTTTAATTTCACTGACATTCCATGATGAACTTTCCCGGGTCTCCGAAAACGTGGCCCAGCGCAGGTAGCGCTTCCATCCATTCCGGCGTCCAGTCTTTAGAGCCATCCGACCAGGGGCCATTCCATTCGGCCTGGCCGCATGGATTGCGCAGCACAAGGAATCGCTTCCCGCCAAATTCGAGGGCACGAAGGACGGCATACGAGTGGTTTCCCCACAGACCGCTTATGGTCGCATTGAAATTGCCATTCCGCGTGGGGTTCAAGCCGTGGAAGGAACACGCAAAGAGGCGGTCGCGATTCGACTTGAGCAGCTCCTCTGTCCAAAATGTGTCCTTGTCGAGGATGTCCTGGATTGGGTTGAGCATGCGTAAGCACACGACTGAAGTGATATGAATCACCCGAGGAGAAGAAAGGAAGAGCATACCTTGCATTGAATAAAGCTCGATACGCCCCTTCAGTTTGAATGGGTCATCTGAGCATTTCGATCGAGCTGGATCTTTGAACGTACCCAGTCAAGTCTTCGATTCCCTAGGGACAGGACGTTGAGTTTTGAGTGGCCGACGGGAAGCTCGACACACATACCTCACTGGCCTGAGAACAGAACAGAACATGGTCAGTGTTTCCATTCGAGGACAGGCAGATCGCTTACGTAACCACTGTACAAGGAGCCATAGTCGCCATGCAATTTCGCATACGCCTTCTCAAGCAGTGGAACCCAAGTTTCTCCAATGTTCCCCGACTTGGCAAAGAAGAGTGTCTTGTTGCCCTTGCGGGCAGACGTATTATATTTCTCCTTGTCGTTTTGAAATAGCGCCTTCTCGGGTATCGACAGCTCTTCATATTTGGGGATCGAAGTGTAAAGAAGACTGACGACATTAGCAGTCATTGAATGCGAGATTAAAACGCACTCGTCGACAATTATGCTGACCCATCTCGTATCGCGCCAGAAGACGAATCCGTAGACACCGATTTGCTCGTCGCGCTACGAGATTCCATGAGTAAGTTGTCTAGGTAGAGCTTCGACCGAACTCACCGCGACACAGTACTTTTCGACAATCTGCGACTTGAGCGTCGACGTCGCGGCCAACGCGGATATAAACCAACTAGATATGCGCCAATTTTAAGAGCGGTCAGGCAAAACGACATGCACGCACCAATTAGAGCATCTTTGCCCCTGTATGACCTCGTTCGAATGCCGGTCATCGCTGAAGAATTTCGGGTTGTCGAAAAGCTCGGTGACGCGCTGGACATCGGAAGGATTGTACACATCGCCTAGAACGAGCCCGTTCAGACATCGGTCTTGGTCATTTTCGACATCGAAGTCCATATCTCTGGCCAGTTGTCAATGAAACAAATGTCACCAGGAAATTGAAACATACCGATACCGGACATTCCTTGCCCTACATTGTTTGGCTATACGCGTCACGTCCGCTCTGCACTCTTCGATAACACTGGCTAGTTCAGGGCTATTCAGCAACCCGACCGATGCGCCACCAACGCTCGATGCGAGGGCCTCTTCTACAAGAGACAGCTTGTCAACGTCAGGCATCGAAGTTTCTGCCTCGGCCCTGAACAATCTGAAGAAACTAGACGGCATGAGGGAGGGGAGGGGGCTAACGAACCGTGGCTCTCCCGGCGGCGCTTTTATACTGCTGGGAATCAAGAAGACGCGACTCGGGGTCCGGCGCCACAGGAAATAATAACTCGTCCAGTCTCCGAGGTGGCGATGAGTCTGGAACGTCCGCTGGTGTTGTTGGATAGCTGTGGGCGCCAGCGCTTAGTCCAAGAAAAATCCGAATATTTTTGACCCACATCTCGATCTCGCCAGCCTAGCCACCGCAAATGTCGGCAACAAAGTAAGGGACAGGCACTTGGTCATGCGCTCAGCGGAAAGAGAAGTGTGCTCATCGTCCCGGAGACTGGGTAAATAATGTCCATTTTAGGATACTGTAGGTGAATGTTTTCAGCTAACTGACAGATAATCAATCTAGACGGACGACTACTGACCAGTATTCCGCAAGGCAGGTAAAGACACCTTCGACGTCATAGAAAATGTCGGGCCGCCTCTATTGAAAGCACTTCATCGCAACCCGTGCGGAGAGCTGTTGCTACGATGAGAAGGGTCATAGTGTGACAGCTTTTATGTCAGATTTGATCAGAAAACATGATACAGCAGCTCAACTTGAGCTCTGACGGGAAATGAAGCTACAAGTTCTCTGAGAGAATGTCCGAGTTAATTTTGGAGTTTGGGCTTAACTCCGAGGTTGTGTGATCTCCGAATCCCAGGCTAGTATTGTCCGATAGCTTTAATGTTGCGGCAGCCGATATTCAGTCAGAAAATTGTGCATTAAGAACTAGCATCGGACATCTTAATCCCTTCAAGTCGATTTGAACGTAGGGAACTCGCTAATGCGCAACTTCGTAGCCTGTTGTCATCAGTCCACACGCGCCAAGAATAAGAGATCGGGACGCACGCCATACGGTGTCAAAGTTATCGTGGTTGCGGGTCCGGTGCAGGTGGGATTTGTCGGGGGCTTGGCAGCAAACGTCGGCGCCTGGATTGCCCAATTGATCAAGCACGCCCTCGCAGTGATCTTGGATGGTGTCAACCCCGAATCGAAGATCGGCGAAGGCAACACCCCAGACGAGGGCGGAGTGGACGAGAACGCCAAAGTGGCTGGGTCGATAGCGTATTGCCAGCTCGCCGTGGCATCGAACTCTAAGTCTTGAGCCATAGGCTGATCGGCATTCGTTGCAAGAACTTTAGTTTTTCGAGGGATGTCGAATGCATAGTTCAAGGGTCCACGATGCACAGCGATGGCTCCATGGGGTCGCGCCTCCGTTGTGATGACCGCAGGTAGATTCAAAACGAACGTTGTCGTCCCGGAGTTTGCCGCGACCGCCTGAAGCCCGTTTACTGGCGCAAGTGGCTTTGCTGGCGCACCGTTGATCGCGATGGTTCCGTTGACAACCCAGCCGGGAATGCGAACCTGGTAAGTGAATGCTGATTTAGCAGTGATGGTGGTGGTAAGTGTGTCGCTGAATGGATATAATCTTATCGAACAAATCGCGTCAAGATAGGGCTCGATAAAAAGTTGAAAGTTCGTACGTTGCGACATTGGCGGTGACAGCATTACCTGGACATTGTTAGCTAGCATCTTGACAAGAAACAATATATGCCTTGAGCGAGAGTGACCGACGTCGAGAAGGGTCCCAGATAAACATGCACAAGGGATGCCATATCCGGAGTTGTAACAAATGCGCTGGTGAACGCTCATCAGTTTTGTATTTTCACTCTTGCCAAACCCGACCAAATTACTTCGTGATAAATTTAGGCCATCCTTGCGGGTGATTGACGGTGCAACATGGGTAATTCGGCTCCAAACCAAACACATTCGAGTAGGGACCATCCAAAGGGAACGGATTTGTGCTCATATTTCCAGCGAATATTTGATTCTGTTGTTGGAGATATTGTCTTGCGGTAGAGGAAGTGGGTAGAGCGCAAGTTAGAGGTTATGTAGAGCGCACCTATTCCACATGTCTGACGAGGTGAGTGAGGTCAGGAGCTGGAATAGTATGTACATCCGCACCTCCGGTCAGCGTCGCCGGCAAGGCATTATAAGCAATGCGTTCGACCTTGATTGGAGTCAAAACAAGACTTCATAGCGATACTAAATATTACCCGGTCAGAAAATTTCGGATCGCCTATGACTTGGTAGAGATACGAGCCCGAGAACATAGTTTCGACCACGAGACACAACTCAGTGCTAAGAGAAACATGTTAGAGTTGAGCTCAGCCTCAGTTTCATTCTCCCTTACCCTCTTGTAGCTTCGAGACCAGCCAAATATTCGTCAGCCGCGTAAATTCCTGGCAAGATGTCGGCCAACGTCGAACAAGGAGTGATGAGGGAGGATGCCTGATGGCCGCCCATGATACTGAAACAACAAGTCCCAACCCAAACTGGCTGCGTCCAAATCTGATCTCCAAGTAAGGCCAATGATAGTAATGGAAAATCTGTGACAAGCCTGATTGGTTGTGTGTAAAGCGATAGGTCGCGGGAAGCGCTTTCAGCCCTTCTGCCATGTTGACTCCATGCCACTGTGCTGCTTCAGACTCAACCGTTGACGTCAAGGATTCTTTGACTCACAGTCAAGGGCAGATTGAATGGGTTGGGCGTGTTTTCGACTGAGTGGGATAAACAAAACGCGATTGCGCAGAGAGTGCAAAGCACCTGCCGCGGTAGGAAAATACTGTTGTTCTGATTAGCGTCAGTAGTACAGAAGCACAAGTTGGACTTTCCTGTTTCGAGAAAACCTTCTCCCATGGAACACCAGTCCACTTGAGCCGCTCCATCGTATCGATGAGTAATGCCTGACTTGCAGTTCCGTTGGGGTGATTGTCATAAAGCCTTGTAGAAGTCAGATCCTTGCATCAGTAAGAAAGAAAAAAGGAATAAAACCATTGCAGCGTCATCACAAAATCCTCCCATCGTGTTGCCGTCCATTGCTCGACTCCAGTATTATTACTGCGGAGCATAGAATTCGCGAGCGTGACAAATTTGTAGAGTGCATTGACCACGGACGTGGTGAGTGTCGGGTCGAACTCTGTCATTTGAATGGCACCAAAGAAGAAACTGTAAGTACATTGATGTCAAAGCCAGCCGGATTGGAACTCAACACGTACGGGTAACGACCCCAGAGGTAACGAGGCTTAGGGCCTGCTCGGTGTCACCGGGATCGATCCCGTAGCCAATCTGGCAACGGGCTCGGCTAGCCCTAGCCAGTCTCGGTATGGTATCCATGCCATCAACAGGCATGACAACGGGGCCGGAGGTTGGCGGAGATGCGTCAAATAAGATTAGTCATGTATTTAAGGTAGATCAAAAGACATATCTCGTCCTCCCCTCCTCGTTTCGACGCGTTTTTTGACTGGGAATCGGCGCCATGCCCTCCGGCCCTTCCCGTGACGCGTCCAGAGCCTTCCGTGACGCATCCAATGCCTCGCAACAGGCTATACTTGCCCAACAGAGAGCACAAAAGAAGAAAGCACTAGCACAGCGTCAACGGCACATTGCGCTGGTGTCGCTTGTGTGTATGGTTGCAGCATTCACTGTCTCTTTTGGCATGAATCTCACTGATCCCATCCCTCTCAACACCTCTGCTCTTACTGGTCAGGTCTGGGTGGATGAGCTCCTTGTTGGCAGTGATATCCGGTTCTATCGCCAGCTAGGGATGGCCAAGCATGTCTTCCTTCGACTATTATTCGAACTCCAAATGCATTCCGGGCTAACCAATTCGAAGCATGTCACGGCCACGGAGAAGCTTGCAACATTCCTTTACTTCGCCCGGATCGGCTGCAGCTCACGTGTCCTCCAGGAGCGTTTTCAAAGGAGTGGGGAAACTATCAGCAAATCCATCCATACCATCCTTAACTGCTTGACTGGGTCTTTCTACACAAAGCATATCCATCTGCCACCAAATAACACTCCACCAGAAGTCAAAGCGACACGGAAATTCTACCCATACTTCCGTGAATGCCGTGGCGCAATCGACGGCTCTGTCAGGGGAACCTCCCTTTCGGCCCCTCGGAGACGATCCCGATTCCGGTCCGACTCCGGTTCCGACTCCGGTGATCGCATCACCGCCTCCGTCAGGCGCATCGCCGCCCCCGCCTGGCGATCCCCCTGGGACCTGGCCTGCGACATGGCGCAGGCATACTGCACGGAGCAACGATCAACCTTGGCGCGTCAAGAGCGCAGTATATAGTTCCGCTACCTAGCAGGCGGACCCTTAGAGTTTCTTCTCTTCGGATCCTCCCCTGCTAGGTCAGCCTCACTTGTATTTGCTTACTTCTATTCACTCTTCGGATCCTCCCCTGCTAGGACCTTGATCTCAGGCCTCCGGGGTTGCCCTTACAGCAGAAGAAACTCTCTACGGGATCAACCGGACAAGATTGCTAGGTTCGGCGCTGACTCAGGCTCGGAATACGAGTCCGTTCCGCCCTCGTCACCGCCCCTACCACTTGTCCCCTCCTCCTCTGTCACTCCTGTCGTCCCCGCACCTGTCATGCCTTCCGGAGCTACTCCTGACGCTGACACTCGGCTGGATGCACTCGAGGCGAAAATCGACCGCCTAACTGAGGCCCTTACTCTTCTCACCACCCAGGCTTCCGCTGCCGCTGCCGCCGCTAATACTGCTGGCGGACCCCAAACAACACCACCCCCGGAGACGTCGATTCCGACTCCGACTCCGGTTCAGGGCGATTCCGAAGCCCTCTTTGGCGACATCAACCTCGCCTCAAAATTGGTCTTGCGACCAAACCCTCCGTTCACCTTCAACGGCGATCGGAAACGCGGCCGCGCGTTCCTTTACGCGGTCCGCACCTACGCCCGCCTTGCCCCTGAGGCCTTTGTGGTCAACGGAGAGGCGAGTGAGGAAAAGGCCGTCCGCGCTGCCATGTCGTTTATGGCAGAAGGACCCGCTCAGCAATGGGCGGAGCGCCACGGAAGCAAAGCCCCGTTTCCGTTTCCGTCCTGGGGCTCGTTCGTTTCCGAGTTTCGACTCCGGTTCGTCGAGGAGAACGAGCAAGATCATGCTCTCTCCAAACTGGAGACTTCCGCCTATCACATGGGCACAAAGGATGTCTACCAGTACACCGACGACTTCGAGGACCTGATGGACCTCGCCGGATTCGAAGACGCGTTGGTCAAGGTGACCAAGTTCCGCCACGGACTTGACCCCTTGATCAACAACGGAATCACGTCCTCGAACGACCCCCGGACCTCCGGGACTACCTTAGCTGGCGCACCCGGGCCTTCCGTCAATACGAGGCCCTGGTCCGGGCCAAGCTGATCAAGTCAGCCCCCCCAAGACGCCTGGCGGTTTGATTCGGACTCCGTTTCCGGTCAACCGCATCCCGGCTCCGGCCCCTTTCCGCCCGGTGGCTCCGGTCGTGCCACCCGCGGCCCGCGCCCCCGCTCCGGCGCCTCCAGCTCCCGTCCCCATGGAGTTGGATCGCACTAGGGCTCGGGGCGCCCCTCGTCGCGCCTGCTTCAGGTGCGGCGACCCAAACCATCTCGCCCGGGATTGCCCCCCCCCAGGGACGTCCGCTCAATGGACATCCTCGACGAGGTGATCCAACAACTCGGTGACGAGATGTTAGCGGAGTTGATCGCCCGCTACTCGGACACAGCTGCGCTGCCGGAGACAGCTGCGGAGTCGATGGCCGGAGAGGATTTTGTCCCCGCGACGAGTGACTGGTGTGCCCTCGTTCGCGTCCATAAATCGTTTCGCTTGTTTGTATGACGAATCAATTCCTTTGCCCTACAACGAGCCTGAAACGAAAGACATACCCTCCCCTGCCCCCATTTCGACTCCGTCTCCGACTCCGCCCGCGACTCCGGTTGTCGTCCTCGCCGCCTCACTGCCTGGGAAAAGAAATTGCCCAAGCAGTACACTGTCGCTGCCTCCCCTGGAGTAAACTCCCTCCACCTCCCGTTGGAGCTAGAGTCCACCACCAGTGCGTTGAAGCTCTCCCTTTCTGGGCTTGTTGACTGTGGTGCCACCTCCGACTTCATCGACACGAACTACGTCGCTCGGAATGGCATTCCGGTCCGCACCCTGGCGCAGCCGATTCCGGTCTTCAACGTCGATGGCACTCCGAATGATGCTGGCTCCATCAACCAGATCGCGGACTTGGTCCTACGCTACAAAGGCCATTCCGAGCGCGTTCAACTCGCCGTCACCCATCTCGGTAAACAAGACCTCATCCTGGGGTACTCTTGGCTGCGGAAGCATAACCCAGAGATCGATTGGGAAACCAAGGAGGTCAAGATGACGCGGTGCCCCGCGGCTGCTCCACTTGCCGCGAGGAAGAACGCGTTGAACGGACTGAGCTACGGCGACTCCGGCTGCTCCAGAAGCGACTCCGCTCCGGCCCGTTCCCCTCGGTCTGCGCCATGGACCTTTCTGGGTCTGATGACGGAGACGATTCCGTCTCCGGCGACGACTCCGGCCTGCCTGATCTGACGCCGGACTCTGACGACGACGATGACGATGGTCAGCTTGAAGATGGTGACCGCATCTTCTACACCTCGTTCCGTCCCTCGGAGGAGATACGCGCTGGCAGTACTGTCTCGCAGCGCCTGGCTGAAGCCTTCGCCAGGAACTCCGCTCCCCGCCCTCCGAGATCCCGGACTGGGCTAAAGAGTTCCAGGACGTCTTCAACAAGGAGTCTTTTGACACGCTCCCGGGACGGAGAACCTGGGACCACGCCATCGAACTCGTCCCCGACGCTAAGCCGGCCAACTGCAAGGTGTACCCCATCTCGCCCCTGAGCAACGCGAGCTCGACGCGTTCATCGAGGAAGGGCTGTCGACGGGCCGGATTCGCCCCTCCAAGTCTCCGATGGCGTCTCCGGTCTTCTTCGTCAAGAAGAAGGACGGCGGACTCCGCTTTGTCCAGGACTATCGGGCCCTCAACGCGATGACCGTCAAAAACCGGTACCCCCTTCCGCTGATCAACGACCTCATCAACCGGCTCAAAGGCGCTCGTTACTTCACCAAACTCGGCGTTCGCTGGGGCTTCAACAACGTCCGGATCAAAGAAGGTGATGAGTGGAAGGCAGCTTTCCGGACTAACCGAGGCCTGTTCGAGCCCTTGGTGATGTACCTGGCCTGACGAACTCTCCCGCGACGTTCCAAACGATGATGAATGACATTTTCCAGGACCTCATCCTTTCCGGAGACGTCATGATCTACCTGGACGACATCCTGATCGCCCATTCCGACCTCCGGAAACACCGACAGATCGTCCAGGAGGTCTTGCGCCGACTCCGAGAGCATAAGTTGTACCTCCGAGCGGAGAAGTGCGACTTGAAAAATCGTCAATCGAATACCTCGGAGTCATCATCTCCCACAACCACGTCGAAATGGACCCCGTCAAGGTCGCAGGCGTCTCCGCCTGGCCGACTCCGGAAAACAAGAAGGATGTTCAGCAGTTCCTTGGGTTCGCTAATTTCTACCGCAGGTTCATTCGCGACTTCTCGGCCCTCGCCCTCCTCTCTTTGCGCTCACCAAGAAGGACCAGCAATGGACTTGGGGCGACGGGAGGCCTCCGCGTTCCAAGCGATCAAGGACGCGGTCACCTCGAACCGGTCCTGGCGATTCCGGACGACGCACGGCCTTTCCGACTCGAGGCGGACAGCTCTGATTATGCGACGGGGCGGTTCTTTCACAATCCGCCCCGGACGGGAAGTGGCACCCTGTAGCATTCTATTCCAAAAGCTTAAATGATGTCCAGCGCAACTACGAAATCCACGACAAGGAGATGCTCGCGATCATCCGCGCACTCGAGGAGTATAGACACTTCCTCGAGGGTGCCGCGCATCCCGTCGAGATTTGGACTGACCATAAGAATTTGGAGTACTTCAGGAAGACGCAGCACCTCAACCGGAGACAGGCCCGCTGGTCCCTCTACCTCTCCCGGTTCGACTTCACGCTGCACCACAAGCCCGGTCGCGACATGGGCCGACCTGACGCCCTCTCTCGGAGACCCGACCACGGAATCGATTCCGACAACTCCGGCGTCGTCCTTCTGCGGCCCCAAACTCTT